CACATAACTTTTAAAAATAATTAGCTCATTAAGCTCCAGCACTCCCGCAATATCCCATGATCAATGGTGGTAAATACCACCAAGGAATCCCCCCACTTTCCCCCCCGGTGAAGCCACCACTCAGAATAACTAGGGCTTTTATACCGTTACATCCAAGCCAGGAGATCTGGATAATTAATTTCTTTCAAGTCCAATTTATTTCTAAGATATCCCCAGCAATTCAAAGGCCACACTCTTATCTAGTATGTATGACCAAAACTTGCAACTTAATGATAATTACCGGAAATTTCAAGATCCAAGGAAGCTCTCTCCCAAACAAATTTCTATCTTACCACCTGTTCCAAGATGATGCGCAGCAGCTACTGGCCCTTCCTGAGATCTATCCAATTAGAGCAACTAAGGACAAAAGTCTAAAAAAGCATCAGGACAAGTATCGTCTACTTCCTGAGGCCATAATAATATAACTCAAAGGGATTTCATAAACTCTGACGAGGTGGCACCTCCATAATTCAACAGGCCCTAATTTAAACCACATACAAGGGATTTGTAGGCAAAGGTCTTCCCAAACCTATTAATTTAGTCAGTTCTGCCTCAAATTTATCTCTCCCATAGTTGAGAAAGCTCTGCTGGGCAGTTCACTTAAGACACAACAATAATGGAGAAATAAATTCTCATTGCTGGCATCAGAGCTACACATAAGTGGACCTTGAGACCCAGTCAGATGTGTTGCAAAATTCATACTTCTGTGCCTTAAGTCATCAGTCAATTAATTTGCCTTCAATCTGGGCTCACCAGAAACAGCTCTCCAGAGTGAAAGCTTCAACAACTCTTCTCAGCTCAAAAGTGCCACAATGAGACCAGGATGTTGTCAGGATCACTCTCTAGTTCCCCAGAGGATTCAGCAATCCGCAAAAGTCCCTGAGGATCAACCAGGTTAACCAGTCCCCGCCCTGCCAAGGAAGGCAGGCACAGTCAGCTCAAATCTCACCAGGATGCAATCTGTTTGTGACAATGAGGTGATTCTTATCCCACTGATGCCCCCTTTGCTTCCAATCCCTCCCACTCCCAAACCATAAATACACATGCACAACCTACTTATAACTCCCCAATTTCATTTGCACAATGCACCAAAGTAAATGATAGATAGATAGATAGATAGATAGATAGATAGATATACTGAGAAAGATATGTAGAGAGAGAAATAAAATAGATTAGATTAATAGATAAACAGACATATAGAGACAGATAAACAGAGATGATATAGATGATAGATAGATAGATAGATAGATGATAGATAGATAGATAGATAGATAGATAGATAGATATACTGAGAAAGATATGTAGAGAGAGAAATAAAATAGATTAGATTAATAGATAAACAGACATATAGAGACAGATAAACAGAGATGATATAGATGATAGATAGATAGATAGATAGATGATAGATAGATAGATAGATAGATAGATAGATAGATAGATAGATAGAT